CTGGGAGACCAGGGGACACTAAAGAGTGGCGCACACAGCTAGAGACCAGGGGACACTAAAGAGTGACGCACACAGCTGGGAGACCAGGGGACACTAAAGAGAGACGCACACAGCTGGAGACCAGGGGACACTAAAGAGTGACACATACAGCTGACACTAAAAAGCTGTGTGTGTCACTCTTTAGTGTCCCCTGGTCTACAGCTGTATGCGTCTCTCTTTAGTGTCCCCTAGTCTCCGTTGTGTTCTGAGCTTCTTGCAGCGTTTGGTTTCTGCAGCTTTTAGTAAACGCTGCGCATGTCTCCTCAAGTTGCTGAAGATGTTCCTTCGTGTGGAACATTTGTGTTTTTATATCTGCATCTTTTTGAAGCTGTAGCGTTTACCTCCGAAAGGAAGTGTGTTGGGACGCTGTAGCGCGTTTTTGAACCCGTCAGCCACCGTAGATTTTGTCATTATCGAGACATTTCCTTTTGAATGTAGTGGACGAATCTCTTTTTCATTTCTTCAGCGCCTTTTACATTACTTGAACTGTCACACGGCATTTAACGGATCACCTTCTTTGTTACTTTTATAAATGTGTCTTGCATGGGTTCTTTTCCGATACGTTCATGGCCTTGTATTGTACTGTTCAACTGTTACTATATATATTCTTTCTCTCTCTCAAGAGTCTTGGACATGCTAGTTTTGAGCAGTGAGCATGAACACTAATGCACCTCTGATCATATCAACAGGTTTGAAATGTCTCGTGATGATCATAATGCCTCTAGTTGTTGACTCCTCGTTAGGTGCTATTAATGACTTCTTATTGTTTGGGACAGATCGTGGGAAACAGTGTTAGAAAATGAAGTGCCAAGCAGTGTGAGTAACGTAGTAACTGTTGAAGTGTCTTTGAGCAAGGCACTAGTGGAGCGGCTGTCAGGTGTGAATGTCCCCATGTCAGTACTGTAGATATGTTGAAATTCATCTTGAAATAAGTGTGGGGTAATGGGTTGGAGGGAGAGGTTTCTGGTGCCAAAGGAGGAGGGGGCTGTGTGGATTTGGTGAAGTTTGTTCCTCTAGTGTTTTACCTTTTTAAGTTATTTCAAATTAATTCAAACAAAGGTAAGAAAAAGTTTAATTTGGCACAAAAAAATACATTTAAAAAAAAGCCCAGGAAGCTCAGGATTAGGTTCATTTTTCAAAATAAAAGCCCCAGCCCAGAGAGTAAATATCCTTTTTTCAGGAAAACTCAGGACAGAGCCTGTTTTTCACAATAAAAGCCCCATAAAGTATCCTAATCCTTGAAGGAAGCTCAGGATTACGGCCCGTCCACACTACAGCTTCGACAACTTCAAAAACGGTTTCCAACGCGTCTGCCCATTCACTTTGAATGGGGTGACGTCACGTTGCCTCGCTGACGGTAGTCTAAAGTTAAAGTGATAAAAGAGCAAATATGACGTCCTAAACGCTCACTGCGGGGCAAATAGCTTCGACAGTCCGGACGATCTCGCTCGGACAATATAAAAGGTGTAGGTGTGTGTATTGTTATATGTCCTTAGTGTGGTGACGTCCTTTGGTTATTTACATTTTATGAACATAGAGGTTTGTCTGGCCATACGAACGCATGTAGTCCCGAAACTTACACACTTCGGCAAAACTCGGGGAGATAACGAAATTGAAAATATGTCTATTAGTAGTCAAAACAATGACATTTAATTTCCTTTTAACAAATTTTTTATTTTGAGGTTATAGGAGGTTCTGAGAAGATTGGTAGACCTACTTTTGTTAAACAAGACAACTTCTTAATTTTTATTTGTAAGGATACTTGTATAGGTGAAAAGGAGAAGAACGTTGTTGGCAGACCCTCGAAAATAAAACGTTATATTCGGATAGCACTCGAAAAAGCGATGTTCTAACTTCTTGAAAAACCCCCGAAAATAAACTCTTCGTCCCGAGACAGGACTCGGGAAAGGGACTTTCCTATAAATGACAGACTCCGTAAATAAAACTCTTTTACGGACGGGATTAGGACTCAGAAAGGACCTATCGAAACCATAGTATGAGAACTAACCCCGAAAATAACAAACCTTTTTGTCAGGACAGGAGTATCAAGTACGTTTATACAAATGTTAGAACCCGAAAATAAAACTCTTCTTATACGGATTGGGACTCGAAGAAACGATCCTAAAACCAGTAAGACGGCGCCGAAAATTCAAAACTTTGTCCCGGAGACAGGACTCGAAAGGACTTTCCCTATAAATGTCAGACCCCGACAATAAAAACTTTTGCTTCCCCCGGGTTAGGACTCGAAGGACTGGGGATCGCTGAATTTATGACAAGCCACTCCGAACAAACAACTTCCTGTCACGGGACAGGACGCTCGTAAGGACATTCCCGTCACTCAAACAATGATCGAGAAACTCGCGAAAAATAAAATTTTTACCCCCCGGATGCGGGCAGGATGTGATGTCGAGTTTTTTCGAACGGGCGCGCCGTCAGACTTCGGATCTGGTTGTTTGGTTAGTGTACTTAGAGGGCGGGACTGTGTGTTCGTCGCCAAACTAACCGATCTCGAACATGACCTATACTAAAACTAACGACTGCGAAGGTGGCGTTTCGGACGTCTTTCGAAGTTTCAACTTGTAACGGTTGAAAACGTCGGACTCTTGCGGTCCTTTCGGAGGCGAGACGATGGGTGTTAAAGTC